GTTCTAGTTTTTTTTCCCCTCAAAAGAAAATGTGATAGTGTGCACCTGACTTAAACTTCATAGTTTTGGGAAGCTCTTACTTTCCATTTAAAAGCTCTGCTAAAAAAAGAAAGTGTTCTGAAATACATTATTCAAATTACCAGGAATGGGAGAAATGTACAGTCAACCATTTTCTTTAAATTAAGAAGGGATTGAAAAGTGTACTTAAAACCTTTGGATTGTTTTTTCTTACTATGAGGATGGAGAAGATAAATGGGGCATGGATATGACATTTACTGGCACTCTAACTTCAAAAGTTGCTTGTGGGCTTAGCCTCCCTTGGCACAGAGGTGTGTCTGAGGGTGGTACCACACATTAAGACACCAGACTTGTGTTTTCATGCCAAACACCCATTAACAGAAAATGGGGTGATTTCAAGATAAAAGGTGATAAGTGAGAACAGGGGAAGGGCCATAGCTTTGTGGCAGAAAATATACTCTGTATGTAACAGGGTCTGCATTGTATACCTTGCTTCTTGGGAAATGTTTGAAACCCTGAGGGGCTGCTGACAGTCAGTGCAAACACTTCTGAGCTAGATGAACTGGTGTTTTTGACTCAGTAGAAACAAGCTTCCAACTGATACCTATACTCAAAATATAACTATATTTAGATCCAAGCCATCCTTATAACATGAGAGGTGTGGCCCTCCAGGTCCTACAACATCTGGAGGGTCACACATTCCCCAACCCTGCTGCATATTTTTATTTTCAATTTTTGGTAGCTATAATATTTGAGCGCAGTTGTACATAAGATTAGGTACGTAATTTGGTATTCAGAACATACAATCATCCATAATGGCTTTGTCAAAGGATTTAAAGGCTTTGCTGTGCTTTATGGCTGATATTTATTCTAAGAGTATTTTGCAAGTGTTTCTTTTGACCACTAGAAGATGCTGTGAAACAGACACTGTGCAGACCAATGAATCCAAGGCAGGGGCTGAGATCAAGAAGGGCATCCCCATAGCCTTTAGTGTAGACTCCTTTGTTAAATTACAGTTGGCCCTCCATTTTCGCAGGGGATCCATTCCGGAACCCGCCCCCAGCAAAAATGGAGACTTGCCAATATTCAGGCCCCATAGGCTTGAATGGGGTGTGCTCCTGCAGGGTATGTGTCCCATTGATTTCAACGGAGGTCGCCCCTCCATGAATATGCAAAACGGTGGACTTCAAGTCTGCGAGAACAGAGGGGTGACTGTACTGTAAAAAGACAAGTCCAGACTGAAATCTGAGGTGTTCTTGGCAAACTGATTCATTTTTATATTTGTTTGGCCTAAGGACATTTACAATTAGCAATTGGGGAAGGGAGATCTTTTGAAGAAGTGTCCATGGGGTCAGGGGATCTGTGCACTCTTCTCTCTCTCCTTCTGTATCTTTTTCTCCAAGCTGAGCTTGCTTTTGGTGTCAGAGTTCAGTTGAGGAGAAAAGCATCATGGCTGGGACAGCTGGGTGGGGATTGCCAAGACACTAAACTACAGAAAAAGGATAATTGCATTTTAGTACCAAATGCCTGAGTGGCCATTTGCAGAGATAGGACCTTATCACACG